GTGAGCGTAGCCGGAGTCAATGTCTTACGGGGAATGAACACATTGACTATTGATAATTATTACAGGGTGCGACAGAGCTCTCGGCCATTGAAGAAAATGTTGAATATCACCTCCACCACTACACTGCGCTCTTCAGCCGACTAGACCCTCCTGCACACAACCATCAGCAACGCGAGGACATTTCCGCATGATCAATAATAATAATAATGACAGTTCGCATTTCACTCATTGCATGAGGTCAACGCATCTGTTAACAATTTCGAGCCAAGCAGCTCTATCAGAATGATCAATATACTGCATCAAAAACGATGGCAATGCAGATTTTGCAGCCTGTGTGGGATGCGATTTAACCGCTCTGTTTACAGCGAATGGCGTTACTTTCACCTGGATACCTTGGTACACTGTAACAGCACCCATTAAACGTCCGATTCCAGAAAGAAAGAAAATTCACAGCTCCCGTCAGACTCAGTCTAAATAAAGGCCTCATCAGTACAGCTACGAGCTAAATAGGCCGAGCTACCAGCCATGGTGCAAAGGAGGCACCACAGACATTAAGGTAGATCGTCGCTCTAGCGCCAGAGTGCTCAAACTACAAAAGGTATACTATGATTATGTAGTTGCAGTGGTCAACTGGGGTCTCAAAGCTCGGAGTGAGGATAACAAGGATGCAGTTTACAGGGTTATGGGCCATTACACGCCCGATTGGTTGAGACTCACCTCCTCTCCCCTGACTCACTTGTGAGGTCTGCATTCGCCACTCAGGTGTAAAGGCATAGTGGTGGCTTGCGGAAGAGAAGGCTATAGCTTGGGTGTTTCTGAACATTCAAACGGTGCCAACGCGAATCCCGCGAATATTATTATTAGTTGTAGTGGTGTCGTGATGAATGGGTGTGCGTTTCTTCACGTTCGGGACTGTTGTCAGTCTCTATCCCTGACTCGGACTCCCTGTCGATATGTCAGTGTCATGCATTGTCAGGTGTGTTTTGAATAGTTGGAGAACACTGTAAGATTCACCCCCTGACTCTTGCCATTACCACTATACTAGGGGTTCGCACCAGGGTAGTAAAGGCTGAAGCTGAAGCTGAGGTGTTGAGCCAACGAGGTCTGTATACAGCAGTGTATCTACAAGAGAACAGGAAAACACGCCATGGCATGGGACACAACCCTTCAAGCTACATGTACATGTACATGTACATCACGCAGTCAAGTGGTGTGCTTCACTGACAGTCTGTCCGAAGAGTGCTCAATACCCATGTAGGGCAGAGCCTTTTACACAAGAGAGAGATTGGAAGGTTTGTTACAACTCAGAGTTTCACGTATTACTACGATCATCAGGGTTGCCTGATGATCGTAGTAATACGAACGAAACTCAAGAGTTGTGACAAAGCTTCCAATCTCTCTCTTGTGTACATGTACATAATGTATGCCATACATGTACATGTACATGTACGTAGAGCGTCTAAGTGCGCGTTGGTATTATTATTTCGTTCAACAATGTACATATGCAATGTGTTTACGCATGCCATTTTTCATCTCGGCCAGTGTGGGGTACTTCGTCTTGGGGGTGCGACATGGCGCAGCTACCATGCACGTTACAGGGGCGCAGATAATTCCTTTGATAGCCTACTAGTACTGAAGCTGAAATCACAAGAGGCAATTTTGCGAAAGCACTGTGATCGACTCTACATGATTTTGAAAAGCGATCCTGTCGCCGTTCTCCTTTCCTAAGGACCAGCTGCTTTTCGGCGTGTCCGACCGATATCGCCATGCAATGCAGCCACGCTGTGGGCCTGGGATCTGATCCTCCCACTGGCTTCTTGGCAGTATGACCCTGTCGTCTGTGCGCGACTTGACCATCCCTTTCATAATATTGGGCAGAACTGGCCGTTTGACATGCGATGTAAAATAAATAAACAACAACAACAACAACAACAACAACAACAACAACAACAACAACAACAACAACAACAACAACAACAACAACAACAACAACAACAACAACAACAACAACAACAACAACAACAACAACAACAACAACAACAACAACAACAACAACAACAACAACAACAACAACAACAACAACAACAACTACAACAACAACAACAACAATAACAACAACAACAAACTTTGATCTCTCTGTATCTGATCCCCGTGCCTGTAATTATTTTTCTCTTATTCGCCACAGGCCATCGTTAGAATAAAAGATTTCAAACAACAACAACAATAACAACAACAACAACAACAACAACAACAACAACAACAACAACAACTTGGTAAAACGCGCTGTGTTCTTGAACCTGACGCAGAGACATCCCGTAGCACTGCCGTTCAATCAGGTACGTGTACAATCATGTACATGTACGCTTTCATCTCCGGTCCGCATTGATCCAAGATCAACTGCTTTGCAGTACAGGGGCCATCTCACCTACATGCACTTGTACTGGTACATGTATACCACCGCTATACTTGGAGTCCACCTCGCTATCTTCAGTCATAGCGAGCGGGGCCCGCAACTCTACCTCTCGGCAAACACGCACAACGTATTGATGAAAGGACTCCTCTGACCGCTGCTTGCCTGTAAGCAAAGTCTTCCACGCTTTGTGCGGCGTCTTTCCGAGCGAGGCAAGAAAATTTCGCCTCGCTTACTCATAGGATATAACACCGCGCTGCTCTTACGACCCCAGACACTCCGGCGGACGACTGTTTAGACCACTGCCTTCTCGAGTTCCAACCCGTTACAACAGCAGCAGTAACGAAGATTCTCGAACGATTGAATACCACGAAAGCATCTGGATCAGACGGCATACCAGCTTACATCTTGAAACACCATGCCGCCGAGCTGGCCAATTCCTTAACTTCCATCTTCAACCAGTCATTGTCTAGCGGAAAGGTACCGTCAGCCTACAAACTAGCGTCTGTGTGTCCAGTGTTTAAGAAAGGCGACCCCTACGACAGTTCCAACTATCGCCCAGTCTCGCTACTGCCCATTATCTCCAAAGTCTTGGAATCAATAGTGCTCCAGCAGTTTCATGACCATCTGGACATCACACCCGGAGCAATTCCAAATGAACAGTTTGCATACAGGCAGAACCACAGTACTGAGGACCTTTTAACACTTGCCATCAATAACTGGCAGAGAAGTATGGATACCGGAGACTATACGGCCGTACTGCTGCTCGATATGAGCAAAGCCTTTGACCGCGTCCACCACCAAACGCTAATAGATGACCTTCACAATCTGAAGATCCGTGGGAATGCTCTTGAGTGGTTTAAGTCGTATCTGTCTCACCGACAGCAACGCGTAGAAGTGAACGGAACCACAAGTGACTGTAGAACCTGCACTACACTCGACTTGTCCCCACTCTGCCATTGCGTTCCCAACGCCTTCTTTATGCAGACGACACCACCCTGTATGCCCCTGAAAAGTGTCCATGAATTCTCATGTCTTACTTAGAAGACGATTTTTCAGTGGTGAAGCAGCACCTCACAGATCGCGGCCTGCTCCTGAACTCCAGCAAGAGCCAAGTACTACTGATCCACAGCAGACGCTCACATCCTCCACCTAACCTGAGCATTGTCTGTGGTTCAACTGTTATTGCCCCGTCTGACGAAGTTAATCATCTAGGACTGACTATTGATTCAACTTTAAGTTTCAGTGCCCACGTTAACTCCCTCAGGGAAGACATCAGAAAGAAACTAGGTGCTTTTCGACGTGGAAGGAGGAACCTTGCTGTCCAGGCCAGAAGGCAGTTCTACTTGTCAGTAGTCCAGAGCAAGCTCGAGTACGCCAGCACTGCCTACGTCCACTGCCTCGCTGACAATGTGAGAGATCAGCTGCTACGCATAAGTAAGAGAGCACTTAGATGCATATTTGAGCATGACACATTTACGTGGACATCATACTTGCTTGAGCGATACCACATAATTAGCTTAAACAAAAGATATCATACGAAGTCCATATTCTTCGTGTTCCGTTGCATCCACAATATCTGCAGTTCACTCCTCTCTGACATGTTCTCCCTTCGCCATGACTGCGCTCACACAGACAGAGTAACCCGCGGCCAAGTCAATCATTCCCTTTCCTTACCCATTGTGCAAGCTCAAGCTGGATACAGATCTATTTCATTCCTTGGTGCTGACCGCTTTAATGCGCTTCCCGAATCCCTTCGCACAAATCATATCCCCAATTCATTTCGCCAGGAACTTGACAATTTCATTCATCTTGGGCACCCTGTAAGAAGACCTTAGGGTCTGTTGGGAATGCCCAAGTAAAATAATAAAATACAATACAAAAAATACAGGCATTGCAGCCAATACAGGTCCTTTCCACAATGCTTCCAGATAGTCGATAGAGCGATACGCAATTGTTGTGGTGAGGTGTTGCTGATGGGCTGGTGAACTGTAATGCTTGTGTCTGCACGCATCGTCTGGTTGCGTCTGCGAAAGACGAAACAATTAAAAGAAGATGTGCTGTCTTTGGATTTGTTAGATGTTGCAACACCTTAAAGTATTAGTCGACCAGTGCCTCTTTTAAAATAACATTTGGTAGTAATGCCCAACCTGTTTCTCTGGTCTCTTTTGAGCTGTGCTATGAAATCCGTTCATGTGAATAAAAGTTAGCGCCGTGCGCCAGTTCACATTGATCGAACGCCTGTGGCTACACAGCGCCCAGCCTGTCATTGACCCGCTCGATCGGCTTTCATCATTATTATTATTATGCAGCATTGCACATGTGCTGGTACATGGTGGATTGTCCATAATAATTGTGAAAGCAGTTTCAAGATTTATTAAATGAACATGGCGTCAACGAAAAGACCTACACCTTGAGGTGTTTTCAGTGCTCAGCAACTACTAATGCTAGCTGTTCATTGCATGTGCACGCACAAATTATCACACACATGCAGCACATAGATGTGTGTATGTACGTGTACATACACACATCTCTCTACACGCACACACACGCACACACGCACACATACACACACATAGACATACACACACATACACACACCTTGACCTTTGACGCCCATCGCCGGAGGCGATGATAGCAATGCTACGGCAGAAGCCATAGCAACTTGTGCTGGGATTGCACCATTCAACAGCTTGCAAGGCTGAAGAATTGACCGTCACTATTCAGCCTGGTCTACACCATACAGCTATTTGAAGTGACTTTTCCTGGCCAGTGAATCCCTATACACACACACACACACACACATACACACACACGTGAAACTACCAACAGTGGCAACACTGAGTACGAATAACTAAAGACCGGCCATGAAATGCTGACAATTATGATAACAAGATTTAATTTAAACTTTATTACCGTTACACTGTTCTGATAAAAAAATGACTTGGTTTAAGATTGTCAGAAAAACACACAAAGAATGTTTGACCATTATTTGATGGCAATCTAAAGTGATGCTCTTGTATGTGAAGGTAATGTGGATTCGTCAGTTATGAAAATGCAACCGTGCACCATGTTTACACATTGAGACGCTAGGCTAGAACACAATGTAGATGCACGCGCTAGATTTGGAGTCTGCCGATCACCATGCCGACCATCACCATTAGCAACGCGATGAGGCTTGGCACGACAGCGTTACTGCCCGATTCAGCGTTACTGCCCGATTCAGCGTTACTGCCCGATCCACTACACTCGACAACACCGGCTGGAGAAGAAAAGGGCAGGGGACAAAAAACGCATGGTCATTGGTTGTGGTAGTTACCGCCTCACCCCCGTCATTAGGCGCAGCATCTGCCACCCTGGTATTACAGGCATGGTGGTTGCCTGGCACGAGCGAAACTTCCTAAGATGGTTGTGTTTCTCAACGCACACACACACAGCCGGTTGTAACGTTGACGTGCAAACTTTACTTACTTATACGGTCACAGCAACAGTGAATGGTCGAATGTAATGGGCAAGGCAGCCATTTTAAAGATGGGCAAGCCAGTACCAATTAACAAATTGTTTGAAATACAACGCCTCCGGGAGCACAATGCCAAGGTAAACAAAATGTCATGCTAGGGAACCAGACCAAGTGTAGCACCTAGGAGAGATGGGAAACTGACTGACTTTGTGGTGATCGTGCTGGTGCTGGTGGTGGTTGTGGTGCGTGTGGTCGGTTTTGTGAAGGTGGTGGTGCAGGAGGCAGTGGTTGCGTTCGGTGGGATTTTCATCCTACTAAATGGATCGCTGTGGAATTCACTGTGGATTGTGCTCCTGCCTCCAAAATGGGCGATTCATTTCAGACTGTACTTACTGACATTGTTGTGCATGCATCCCATGCTGTTCACACATCCAAGGACGTCCACTGCTGCTTCGCCAGTAGCATTAGCACCCGTAGCACCGCAGCCGTCCACTATCCTGCAGACTCGACTGGCGTCGCCAGGACGACAAACACAGCGCGGACGGCCAGCGGTCGGGAATACACAGTCGGAGGTGCCCGGTGGGATGCCGAAGTTTCGCGTGCACACATCAGCATCAGCACAAACGTCGTACCCTGTAAAAGCAACGGAGAGATGAATGAATCATCATGCCAGCTCGTGTTGGTTGCTGTTTTCATTTGCTTTGAAAGCAGTATAAATGTAAGTGGCATGGCGTGTCCTGTTGGGTCACATAGTGTCTGCCCTCCTACTGTCTGGCCCCATCACTATAGTAGGCTGAGTTCCCAATTAGGAAAAATTAATTATGATTATCAGCCTAACGCCAACTACTGTAATTTCCCAAATTATCGGTGTAGTTTTATTTTCGGTACTTTCGGTGAATCTGTTTCACACCTAAAATTTCAATACACCGAACAAACACTAACAGACATAATCCAATAGGGAGTTGCGTCTCTGTACTTAAAAATCCAATAGGGAGTTGCGTCCCTGTACTTAAAGGGGAAGTATACCCTAAAATCAAATTTTCACAAGTTGTAGTCTTCGGGATGCTGAGTCGAATGGTCTTGGTCCGAGGATGCTGAGACACTCCCTTCTTCCTTTATTCCCAATCGAACTCACGCACTTCCACCGAAACTGGGTGACTGCGCCCTACTCGATAGGGATTTGTATGGAAAAAGTCTCTAAAAAAGCCGTTTCGTTCTTATACATGTACACATAAAAGCACGGAAGACCGCGATTGGTCCATATGTTGTTGTATTGTGGCCGCTGAGTCGACTGGTTTTGGTCCGAAAAGGCTGCGATGCAGCGTTCGGCCGTTATTCCCAATCGAACACGGTTGAGTGAGCGGTCACGTTCTCAGGCGTACACCAGTCGCCTGGTCACCGTGCCTGCAGAGTACAGTTTTCACATCAAGATTCAACTCAAAGGTTCAAAGCAGGAAGTCGTAAGAGGCTTTTACGACTCCCTGGTTCAAAGGTTCAACTCGAGTGACATAAACGGGCCCAAACAGGCTGTAAATGAGCACGTGACCACTTACTCAACCGTGTTCGATTGGGAATAAGGGCCGAACGCTGCATCGCAGCCTTTTCGGACCAAAACCAGTCGACTCAACGGCCAAAAGACTACAACATATGGACCAATCGCTGTCATCCGCGCTTTTATAAGAACGAAACGGCGTTTTTAGTGACTTTTCCATACAAATCCCTATCTAGTAGGGCGCAGTCACCCAGTTTCGGTGGAAGTGCGCGAGTTCGATTGGGAATAAAGGAGGAAGGGAGCGTCTCAGCTTCCTCAGACCAAGACCATTCGACTCAGCACCCCGAAGACTACAACTGGCGAAAATTTGATTTTAGGGTATACTTCCCTTTTGCCAATTTCTGTTCACCTAACCAGGCCTTTTGCCCTTATACCGACAATATTGAGCATGCACCTAAAATGTCTGAAATTGGAGTAGAGGGGACGGCTCGATACCGGGACGCTTTGACAGCCAAATTTGTATAGACCCAAACCGATCATCAGCGTTGATTTTTCACTCGAAATATGTTGTGGAAGGAAACTGGCATGTTGGAGTTTGCTCTGTGGCCAGAGTCAATCGAACTGAGCCACTCCTTTGTGCTGACTCATTGCCTCCAAGTTGCCCAAATTTTCGCTTCAAAAAAGTTCAAATCAGAGGTGGCTCCAAACCGGACACGTTTTAGAGTGCACTTAAAATTCACTCTGGGTCTAAAATTAGGTAATTGCTATCGCTCCACGATGGTCGGTACAGAGTAACAATAAGCATTGTGTGTGCTTCCATTAGTTTTGATTGGTATGCGGTGCTTTATTGGCGAGAGGCGAGCCGCTGTTTACCTGCGACAAGAAGTTTATTTTTTGAAAGTCGTAAAACTCAAGTCGCAGTGCGAAGCAACACGTCAAAAACTCACCTGCTTGATATGGCGCTTCTGGTCATCGCAGAGCCATGAAATTTTGGCTCGGAGTATAACACATCGTAGTCTCACTTAGACATAATGTTTTCTAATCAAAATACCAAGAGAGAAAGTGAATATTGAGTCCGTTCCGGTTTGCAACCTGTGTCCTATTTGAAACCGTCCTCTCTACCCAATGCTGCAGACAAAAAGCTGTTTCGGCCATATATGCCTCATCAATACAGCTACGTGCTTTTTAAGTAAGCTACGAAATGTAGCGAGCGATGCGTAATGCAGCAGCACTAGAGCAGCCCACAGAGAGAGCTCAACAGGACGAATGATGAGGAGCGTATCACCCAATATCAGCCTGACTACTGTACATTGTACACCATACAACAAAGGCACAAGGCCAGTTTGTTGCAACTCTGAGTTTCAGAGTATGGTATCATCCGGCAACGTCAGCGTAACTATTCTCGTTGTCTCTTACTCAATCAACATCAGTGAAGCTTTAGACCCTACAATACTTGGGGTGCTTGAACACGAGAAACATAGGCATCGATTATTTCAAACGGGGATATCAATCAACGAAAGTATTTGCACCGAACGTCGGAGCTTGCGCTTCCTGCCGACTGACTTGGCACTTGACTGACTCAGGACTGCGCCTGGAGCACACGAGCAACCCTTCTTCCAGGTTTGCTGAGTGGAAGGTTTGACGGGCTTCTCGTGTGCTCCACACGCAGTCATGAGTCAGTCAAGTGTCAAGTCAGTTGTTCAGAGCAGACACTTTCTTCACTAATCACCGCAGATATTGCACTATCTTTTTGATAACAACCAATGCATTAAATAATGTCCTGAAGCGATGGCAGTAGGCTTCGATTTTTGAATCTTTCCGCGGGGAGGACCCCTCGGCCGCCTCACCTCCAAAGGCGATGTGACGACCATTATGATGATAGACACTATACAGCTAAGCTATAGCCACTTTCGGGAATCCACTGTACTTACAAATAGGTAGCGTAGCACTGCCAAGTCCTGGGCCTAATCTGCCCGTAACGTCAGCCCTGCAAATCACAGACATGGGGCGCGAAACCGTATCTTTGTCGACGTCGGCCGTGATGGGAGAGATAGTGAGCGTGGTGCCCATTGGTCCGGAGAACGACAAGGCCTCGATGGGAGGCGCTGGGATGACGGTCCAATTGACCCGTGCTGTGAATGGGATGTCGCTGGAACAAGTCACATTGAAGGTGGAGCCGTTGATGACGTTGTTCTGAGGTATCGTCATCCTAAGAACTACAGTGCATAGAAGGACAGGAAAAGAAAATCGAAGAGAGCATTTGTGACTGCATCGAGATGGAATCTCAGTCTACCGCTGTGAAGCGTTATCTATACCAGCCGGCCATGTGACTAAATCTGTGTACGAAGTGATCCTGTCATGTGGACAGTAAACTAACATGGCCGACATCACATGACCCATAGATGCAGGGGTGGAGTGGAGTTGGAACCAACATGGCGACATCACATGACCCATAGATGCAGGGGTGGAGTGGAGTTGGTACCAACATGGCCGTCCAGTATGGTCATGTGATAGACGTGAAAGCACACTTTATTGCGAAAACAAAAGTTAAAACACATACCGGTGATGAATGTAGGACTGCAGTCCCTGTCCGCATCCGCAGGTGTTGCTGCCCTCTCCCTACAGTCGCGCAACTCCCTACAAGGAGCGCCCGTATCGCCAGGCGAACACGTACAGTCGAATGTTACCAAGCTACCAGAACTGTTGCTCGTGCAGTTCGTCGACCCCTGCGGATATTGAGTGGTGTTAGCGCAGTACTTCGGATCCTGACACACGTCATTATCTAAGTTGTTGACAAATGCACACAGAGTAGACAATTGACATGGATAGGCAACTGATGTTAAGCCTTGCTTTTTTCCGTTTGCTGACCCATACAGTTCTATCTTCTTCTTTTTTTGATGAGTGCTTTTGACCATGATGCGGAGACCTCACGTCGGCAGAGCCATCAATGCCCCACCATCACTGCTGCGTCTTGGTGCAGCCCCTGCTCAGTAGGTGTCACGCTGGTCCTAGTCCCAGTACCATTGTAGTTTCATCATTATTTTCGAGCTGGGTATGTGAACATAGTACAGTCGACCTACCCTTATAACGATATCCCCTATAACGATATTACCCTTATAACGATATTTTTCTGTCAAACCAAATCACTCCATTGACTTTTGTATACAATGCCTTACCTCTATAACAATATTGCTATAACGATATTACCCCTATAACAATATAAAATGGGCTGACAAATCGACATTTTCCATTTTATACCAATACCCAGCAGGGATTATGTAGAGTCCACTGTCAAGGTAGGGAAAGCTTCACTTGATAAGTCGCTGGAACATGACGAAATGCAATGGGGGCACCAGTGAGCACCTTGCTGTGGACATAATTATGTTTTGGACGCTATGAAGAGTGTAAAAATGAACTAAATTCATGCATTGTGACATATGTGTATGAATGAACCAGTTACCCTTATAACAATATTACCCTTATAACAATATTTCTTGGTCGGACGCAAATATCGTTATAAGGGTAGGTCGACTGTACACGATAAAATAAAAACTATAAGTAAACTGTCCAAGAGTACAGTTGTGCTAGGTCAAATCGGACCTAGCCATTGACGCCCTTGCAGTGGTAGGAATGCGGCTGGACGACTTGAGCGTACACAGTCATATACATGCACAAGGACAGTCATGTAATCGTAACTGGTCCAGGGGCCAGGGCGTCAGTGTTGCACTTTGGGTCGGATTTCAGACAGCGCACCTGTACAATGTGTAACGGATCGTACATGGAAAAGGTTGGACAGCACTGAGAACATCTCTGAAAACCAATCAACTCCGGATCATACTCTTAGTAGGAGAACGTAATTCTAGAACTGCGAGTCATGATTTTGGTCTGGGAGACTAGTGGAGAGCACTATTTATAATAGTTTTTTTGTTTTTGTTTTTTTTTGTTTCTCGTTTTTTGCGTTTTTTTCACACACAATTGTTTTCATTTTTTGGTGTTGTGTTCTAATCATTCGCCATGCCACTGTCAATTGTATTCTGTTTGCCCGTAAAAGAGGCCATAGGTTTTATTATAATAGTAGGGTTTAAGCCAGGTCGAAAAAGAGTGTGGGGGGGGACAGTTACCCCGTAACCCATTTTTCCATTTTCCAAAAAACTGTCTTGCAAAGCGAAATGCACACCTGCCTTCACCCCAGACAGCTGTGTCATTATTATGTCTCTACCACTGGATCATGACTATCGACTGCATTTTCATGCGACATAAGTCATAAGTCATGAGTCAATATAAGAATTATTCTTATAATTGCCGGTGGTGGACAACTACGCGTAACGTGTTGTTGTGTTTGCAGCCAATCAGCACCGTTCTGAGCGGGGATGCATGCATGTATGTAGCGATATACTCCGCTGGGGTCAATGACATACCCCACTGTGACTGGGTTCAAAATATGCCCCCCCCCCCCCCCCGCTCGGTTCACACGCTCCATTTGGGACAGTACCATGGAAGAGGATAGCTCTCTGATTAGGGCATCACTGGCCTCAAGCAAAGGTCCCTGGCTCGAGTCCTGGCGTTGACAGTCAGTTTGTCATTCAGACTTTTCACTTTTCCATGTGTGGGAGGTGTGTGATTGTAAGAAAGCACAATTGCCTGTTTGTGAGCAGACTTTAAAAGTACAACAACAGCAGCAACGACGACGACGACGACGACGACGACAACAACAGCAACAACAATGTTTCTCCAGACAGGTAAGTATACTTAATACGCCTTAGTGATCTTACACAGTTGGATGTTGGAAGAATATGGAGTTGGGAATGTCGCCGGTGGAGTAATCCCGTAGCAGTCCAGAAAGAAGGACGCCTGAAGTGTCTGAAAGCCAGTGTAAAGGCTCTGGTTGATGTTCAAGACCATCGTCTCTCTATACACTCCCACAATCTGGTAACTCAGAGCAGAAGGTCGGCCTGCTGGGAACGTGAACTGCCAGGCGTGGTTCTGGATACGAGCATTACCGCTGCTGTCGACGCATGATAGCACATAGACACCTCCACCAACAATGACGAGCGGTTTCGGAGTAACCTGCATGTCTGCGCATACAGCAGAGCATACAGGAGAAAGCAAGGGAGAAAAGAGTTAGCGAAATAGAGGAAGATAGAAAGACAGACAGACAAGTGAAGGGATGAACGAATGGGCAGATGGACGGACGAGCAGACAGGCAGAAATACCAAAAGGCAAACGAGCATAGACACATAGAGACAGACAGACCGAGAGATCATGAACCAGACAAACCGGCAGACAGACCGACAGACAGACCGGCAGGCAGACAGACAGACAGACAGACAGACAGACCGAGAGACAAACAGACAGACCAACCGACAGACAAACAGACCGGCAGACAGACGGACAGACAGACAGACAGACAGACAGACAGACAGACAGACAGACAGACAGACAGACATATATGGTATGTATGCGTGCACATCAGTGTGTGTGTGTGTGTGTGTGTGTGTGTGTGTGTGTGTGTGTGTGTGTGTGTGTGTGTGTGTGTGTGTGTGTGTGTGTGTGTGTGTGTCTGTGTCTGTGTGTGTATGTGGTCTTAAAGACCAAAAAGTAGGAATTCACTGGCCAGAAAAAGCCACTTCATAGCTGTGTGGTGTAGACCAGGCTGAATAGTGGCGGTCAATTCTTCAGCCTTGCAAGCTGTTGAATGCTGCAATCCCAGCAAAAGCTGCTATGGCTTCTGCTGTAGCATCGCTATCATCGCCTCCGGCGATGGGCGTCCAATGGTCCAATGGTGTGTATGTGTGTGTGTGTGTGCGTGTGTGTGTGTGTGTGTGTGTGTGTGTGTGCAATCTAAATTCCAGCATGCCCAGCAGCTATTTCTGGATGCAGCGCGCATTTCACCAGATAAACTGGATGCAAATGTCCAGGCCAACAGTGCCTGAGGTGGGGTATTCACCGACAGGAGACTTGGTCGGATAGTTACGATGCCTACACTCTCCTCGTTGCCCCCACCTCGGAGTCCTTCGCGAGACCTTCCAAGCCCGTGAGTGGAGCAAACTACCGCACGAAGACGACGACTTGGAACGACTCTGAGCATTGGCTCATGGAATATTCGCTCTGTTAACTGTTGTGGATAGTAATGGACCAGTTCAAACGGCCGCCGTGAGAGGAATCGTTTCCGACAATAAGGAAATCTTTCAATTAGTTGAACATCTTGAAAATGTGTGTGTTCTCTGCTCTGGTGGAGGACGGTTGTACTTGTTTGGGCTCTTGTTTTGTGGCCTCCATCCGTGCTTGTTCTTGCCGTTGTGGACGGCGTGGGGTGTCCCCAGCCGTCCTCGCAAACAGTGTCTGAGGTGGGGTATTCACCGACAGGAGACTTGGTCGGATAGTTACGATGCCGACACTTTCCTCGTTGCCCCCACCTCGGAGTCCTTCGCGAGGCCTTGCAAGCCCGCGAGTGGAGCAAACTACCGCTTGAAAACGACGACTTGGAACCACTCTGAGCGTTGGCTCATGGAATGTTCGCTCTCTTGTGGGGAGTGATGGACCAGCTCAAGCGGCAGCCGTGAGAGGAATCGTTCTGATGATAAGCCAGATCCATAGCTGCCGAAGATGGCTCTCTCGAACATGGTCCCTGAGTCTCTGACCTAGTAATTCTACCTCTCTTAGCGGACTGCCGTCGCTCGTCGTTCCATATTGTCGGCCCCGCAAGGGGACAAGTGACCGTAATGGCAGTGTTTACCAGGACCAGGACCAGGTGTGTGTGGGGGGGGGGGGGGGTGTGTGTATGTGTGTGTGTGTGTGAGAGTGGAGACGGTTGCTGGAGATTGATGGTGATGCAGGGAAAAGAGTTACGCTGCCTGACGACGGGTGGAAAATTGTTTGATCCTGCAATTTCAGTTCGAGCGCGGTGGACTTCTAGACGATGTGTCCTCATGGCTGTTTTTCAACGCTTGGCCTATCGCTGATATCCCTGCGTGGAATGTTCTTCCAGTGGAGTCCAGGTAGGACTTCGGGTGCTCACACTCCATCACCTGGTTGATTATTTCGGAACTGCAATAATACAGGTTCAAATAATTATTGTTTCCTTTTTGTGCGTATCTCTTGTCATCTCTCTTTTCTATACGTCGTACACCAGATGTACTACTATCGCTGTCTTTCTCCTGCTATCTCTCTCTGCTTGCTGTTTTTTTTTGTTTTCGTTGCCACTGCCCCTCATCATACCCATGCTTGGGTGGAGGGCGGCGTGACCCGTTAGGGTAGCTGTCAATACAGTACAGTGTGTGTGTGTGTGTGTGTGTGTGTGTGTGTGTGTGTGTGTGTGTGTGTGTGTGTGTGTTTGTGTGTACGGACATGGTTTTCACAGTACATCAATTTACGGAAAAGTTGTATGGACATCGATGCAAGGGGTTCCTGGTATTTGTAGACCTGCGGAAAGCCTACGAATCAATCAATCGTGAAAGTCTGTGGTTCGTTTTGGGAAAAGTTGGTGTCCTGATAGACTCGTAAGCATTATCCAAGCTTTTCACGACAACATGAAGGCATCATTGGTACTGGCGGGAGCTGACGTTGACTCGATTGATGTGAAAAATGGTTTGCGTCAAGGATGCTGCATGCAGCATGGCACCGGTCTTGTTTAATTAAATCCTAGTTCACATTTGACGGAACGCTGACGGTACGGGACGTAAGGGCCTGTCGGGAAGGCTGGGGTGAGCTTTAAAATCTTGTATGATTCGTACGACACGATCTGCTGCAGTCGTTGCGTCATTCAACAGCAGACGGCGCGAGTCATAAAGCACGGTCCGTGACAGAGTGACTTTTGGACCAAATTTCTTGTTTTTCGGGACTTTTTTTCAATAATTTCTCCTTGGATGAAGCTGGATCAAGTTCACAATACCAGTTGTTCATGGAGACCAAAACGTTGCTTCGAAAGATGTGCCATTCAAATAATAGCTCCAGGAAATGATAAAACAGCTCGTTTCTCACTCTCCTGAACTATCCTAAATACCATAAGTGGCATCAGACTTATTGTTAAATTCAACTTAACTCGTGTTAGCCATTAGGCGAGTTATCGGAAGTAGTCGGCGCACGACGCCGTCTCCTGTTCACACTCAAAACTGCAGCCATTTTGTATGCTTGCGTCCTCGTCTGCGGTATGAAAAGTTGAACTGATCAAACTCTCTATAACTAGTTTTGACTAACTGTCCATCAAGATAACAAGATAGTAATACAGTCAGATAATACGACAACAAGGCACAAAACCAACAAGTCAAATGTCTCAATATCCTTGTCAGTTTTGTGCCTTCTCGCACTATTATTTTTATTATTATTACCCGCATGTACGCGTTGGAATCAACCAAGTACGAATCGGGACTACAGTGGCCCCTCTATTATCCGGCAGCATTTGTGCCACGGAAATTCTGCTTGATATGTGAGGTTGCTGGATTAACAAATCTGATTTACTGCTGCAATGTGCATGAAGAGGACATTTTGGCTCCTGAAAATTGTGCTGGTTTATCTAGGGTGCCGGTTTTTAAAGTGCTGGATTAGAGAGGGACGACCGTAGTCGGCGCACAACGCCGTCTCCTGTTCACACTCAAAATGCAGCCGTTTTGTACGCTTGCGTCCCCGTCTACGGTATGAAAAGTTGAACTGCTCCAACTCCTCCCGTCGCTTCCCGATCCGTACGGCAGTACGGTTGCGTTCCCGTTCCTGGTGTTCACATTGGACGTCGTCACACCACTTTGTGATGTTGGAATATGCTCGGGCGCGATCTTTTATTCTCCATTCAACTTCGTACGGGGTGTGGGATTTCTTCAGTTTCCAGATGTAGCTCGAGTACTTTTTGTGTCTTGTTGTTGTCAACCAACGCATATGGCCGATCCGATTGGTTTGCAGTCCTGCCTGCAAATCATGAGGTCCCGAGTTCGAGACCCGCGCTGGTAGCAGGGAGCGTGTAAAGACTTTTTACGTGAGTAAAGACTTTTTATGCGTGGTGAACTGTGCCGACACCCACGGTCAACTGGGTACTCACAGCTCGGAGTGAGGGTAACAAGGATGCAGTTTACAGGGTTATGGGCCGTTACACGCCCGATTGGTTGAGAGACTCACCTACTCTCCCCTGACTCACTTGTGAGGTCTGCATTTGCCATTAGGTGTACAAGGCATAGGCATTGTGGTGGCCTGCGGAAGCGAAGGCTAGTTTGTGTGTTTCTGAACATTCAAGCGATGCCAACGCGAATCCCGCGAATTATTATTATTATTATTGTTGTCATGTGGTTAGCATGGCACAAATTGAATGGTGGCGCCGAAATACCGGTGTATTCCTTCTTCGTGGAACCTGACGTTATCGATGCTACGTAGGTCAGCTCCGTTTCCCTCTGTACCAGACTATAGCCTCCTGCCTACAACATCCACACACACATTGCTCACCACCTCCTGCCCACACCAGCCACACATTCTGCGCTAACATTGCACTGCTAGCCCCTGCCTTCAACAACCACACACTCTGCACACAGCCTCCTGCCTAAGATAACACCGCTAGCCCCTACATTCTCAAAGCTTTTCATACCTTCTCCTGGCATATATACTGGCATGGTCGGCACCCAACCTTCATGTTTCCTGATGATTGCGATAGCATGAAACTTCAAGTCGCAGCAAACAAGCCTTGATTGTCCTTGTTGTTCTGTTCTGTAATACGCTCTGCGTCCGCCATGGTGTTGAGCACTGTCATCACACTGGCTACATCCTCCGGTAACGTTACAATCATGTACGTCATTGCTTGAGGTAGTTGGCACTCGTGGAAGATTGTTTTGGTAGCGACCTTTTGTCTGGCTAGTCTTTGTATGGGGTGACACTACGTCTCATTGAAAGGACGGAACAACTCATAAAGAGGATTCGCTGGAGAGCAATATTCTACCTACGTGGTGACAGAAAAGAAGACGACCAAGAAGGAGAAAACTTCGGATTCAAAACAAGAAAATGCCCACCGCAAGTGGACGAGATGAAGAAATTCGAACACGATATGTATGAGATGATTGGCAGCGTGACTTACCGAAGCGTGCATAACGAACTACAGGAC